GGCGGTTGAAGCACGGTTCATAACTCCGCAAGATCCTGTCATCGAAACTGCCGACGGCCATCGACTCCCTGCTGTTCCTCTGGAAGAAGCGACCAAGCTCAACGAATTGCGAGACATTATTGACGACCGTGATCCTACTAAGAAAGAATCCTTCTCACCACGGCTGCGCGAAGCAAAAGATGGAACGATACATGGCATACCTCCGAAAGAAGCAGACATGAATGGCGAGGGGAAGTCTGATGTCCCACTAGGTGACTCGAAAGCGCCTTCGAAAACGAATCCTCTGTTCCCACCTCTGCCCATGTACGGACCTCCAACACTTCTGAGGAAATGCCAGTGTTGGTTCTTCCGAGTCTCGTCTGGCATCTTGTCATTTTTGTTCCTGCTCGTCATAGTCTTAGGTGCAGGCTTTACGTCCCTTCCTGGCATGTGCAAACACCTGTTACTACTGCTCACTTTCCGCGATGCTGAGAAGCGAAGACCGTTCTACGAAGAGGAAACGAAGCGAAAGCAAGCAAGAAGAGAGGCAGAAAGAGCGTGGAAGAAGCGAGACACAATGCCGTCAGCTCAAAAACTGGAGAATGGAGAAGATGGCGGAACAACAGATGAGTTTGAGCCGTTAGAAGGCGGTCCCGATCCTCTGGTCTGCGATGTGCGCCACTATGCACGAAGAGTGGGACTGGACTGCGAGATCTTTGACGTCCAGACAGAAGACGGTTTCATCATCGAACTCTGGCATCTTTACAATCCTCGTGACTACAAGCGCACGAATGACGGCCAGCGTTCCCCGCATTCGCCAGAGCTTTTCCCTGAAGATCGCACGGGTGTTGCTGGGTCGCAATACGAAGAAGGGGAAAAGAAGTACCCAGTCCTTATGATACACGGCCTCTTGCAGTCCGCAGGCGCTTACTGCACGAACGATGACGACAGTCTTGCTTTCTTCCTCGCCAAGTCTGGCTATGATGTCTGGCTTGGCAACAACAGATGCGGTTTCAAACCTCGCCATACCACTTTGCAATACGGAGACCCGCGCATGTGGGCTTGGAACATTCGTCAGATGGGTGTCATGGACTTGCCTGCGCTCATCTCACGCGTACTTTCAGAAACCGGGTTCGAAAAGCTAGGTCTCATTGCGCACAGTCAAGGCACCACACAAACCCTTGTTGCATTGGCAAAAGAACAGCGACCCGAAATTGGCGAGAAAATATCGGTGTTCTGCGCTCTGGCACCAGCCGCATATGCTGGTCCTCTGATTGGCAAAGCGCAATTCAAGTTCATGCAGGTCATCAGTCCAAACATGTTCCGGACAGTTTTCGGCATCCACGCCTTCATTCCATTCATGATGGTTATGCATGGTCTCCTTCCCGGAAAGTTCTACGGCTCCATGGGTTATCGTGTCTTCGCCTTTCTGTTCAACTGGACGGACGACCGCTGGGAACGTGATCTGAGAAATCGCATGTTTCAATTCTCCCCCGTCTATGTCAGTGCAGAGAGTATGAGATGGTGGCTCGGACGGGAATGCTTCGCGAAGCAGAAATGCATCTTGGCTACACGAGATGAGAAGATCATGGAAGATAAAGAAGACGAGGAAATCGAGCAGACGAAAACTAAGGCCGGAAGTCCGCCACACGACTCCGACGATGAGCATCAGAAGGACACGAAAGAAGCTGAGCGCTACGCATGGTACGGTCCGCAAACTCCTCCTTTTGCACTATGGGTCTGTGGCTCCGACGACCTAGTAGATGGTCGTCGTCTTCTACGCCGTTTCGAACACGGTCGAGAGCCACATGTCGATGTCGTACACTCCAAGGTCATCGAGGGGTACGAACATCTTGATGTCATTTGGGCTATGGACGCTATTGAGAAGGTCGGCAAAGAGGTCAGAGAGGTGATTTGGAAGACGGCGTCTGCAGATGCCCGCAAGCTGTGCAGGACGCCAAAGGGATGCGAGGACGTTCACGAGTTTTACAGCAAGAGTGGAGCTAGAGAGAGTGCGACGCGTGAAATCGATGCTTCGGCTGGTGAGTGGAGCAAGAAGGGCGAGGAGGCTGTGGCCGATGGGCCTGGAGAGTAATGCTGAGATGTAAGGAGCATTGTCGTACTCACCCTAGGGCTCCTACGGCATACGAGACAAGCGCGAACACACAAAGAAGCATATGGGAGGCGCTTTTGGTTTCCTTCAGCACATGAGATATCCCCCTGTCCGTTCAATCAAGGCAGCTTAGACTAGAAATGGAAATGGTTCGCATTATCATCCAGCTTGGCGCACGAGGCTTACGCTCAAATCGTTAGGATCGGCGTCTTTATACTTCACTAATATACCAGTTGTTAGCTTCACACCGTAGATTGACAGCTGCAAAGTCCTTCAAAGCGCAGTTTCATCGGCCCATCACACCGCAAGAAGAGGGATCCCTGGCAAAAGGCGGTCTCCCCGCTGTGCCGCATGGGCGCCACGGTTCTGTTGGTTGTAAGTGGCAAGGCGCCTTTGTCGCGACGGTCGCGTAAACAAAACCGTGCGGCCCCTGCAGCGACCCCACCAAGCTAGTCCAACGCGGCGCTCCTCACCGCTTGAACCCAGAACACTTCTGCCTCCAGCGTCGACGCCGGCAACTAGAGGTTCCTTCGACAGTCGTCTGTTTGACACAGCAACACCGTAACCATGCGAGGAGAGGTACGTCAAGTTGTCTTGTTTCTGAGGGAGTGTTCAATCGCAGTATGCGAAGAGATGCGGGGGCTTCATGCGCCAACATGGACGAGACGAAGCTCTACCGTGGCTAAAGAGCAAGAAGAGATGGAGGAGCTTTGAGATTGGAATACTCCAAGAAATTGAATGACCCCAGCACGCGCAATGCTAACACCAAGCTACAGATCTGCCACCTTCACATCGGCCAAGCTGGCACACAGCTGGGCAACAGCGCCTGGGAGCTGTACGTTGTCGCGAACCGCATGCGCCCCGAAGCCTACAGTCAAGACTGACACGATACCCCCAGGTACCTCCTCGAGCACGGCCTGCTGCCCGATGGCCGTCCCAACCCCGATGCGAAGGAGCTCGGCGAGGGTGGCTCCTACGAGACCTTCTTCACCGAGACTGGCAGCGGCAAATACGTGCCCCGTTCCATCTTCGTCGACTTGGACCCCTCCCCAATTGACGAGATCCGAACTGGTGCCTACCGTCAGCTGTTCCACCCTGAGCTGTTGATCAGCGGCAAGGAGGATGCTGCCAACAACTGTGCGTCTTGGAAGCTATTGGGAATGCAGATGCAGACATACTGACGGGAGTAGATGCTCGTGGTCACTACACCATCGGCAAGGAGATGGTCGACAGCGTCATTGAGAAGATCCGTCGCGTTGCTGGTAAGCACAATCCCCGACATCAGCTCAATGCGCCTACTGACAAACACAGACAACTGCTCGTCCCTCCAGGGTTTCCTCATCTTCCACTCTTTCGGTGGTGGTACCGGTTCCGGCTTCGGTGCGCTCCTCCTCGAGCGCCTCTCAACCGACTACGGCAAGAAGTGCAAGCTCGAATTCGCCGTATACCCTGCTCCTCGCGTGTCTACCTCTGTTGTTGAGCCCTATAACGCTGTTCTGTCGACACACAGCACCATTGAGAACTCCGACTGCACCTTCCTTGTTGACAACGAAGCTGTCTACGACATCTGCAGGCGCAGCTTGGACATTCCCCGTCCCAACTACGAGCATCTCAACCGCCTGATTGCCCAGGTCGTCAGCTCCATCACCTCCAGCTTGCGCTTCGATGGTGCGCTCAATGTCGATCTGAACGAGTTCCAGACCAACCTTGTGCCATACCCGCGTATCCACTACCCGCTCATCAGTTACGCGCCTGTCATCTCGGCCAAGAAGAGCTCCCACGAGAGCTTCAAGGTTTCCGACCTGACCTTCCAGTGTATGTTTCAGTACTGTCTCCATACTCTCTGGGCGTTTTGCTAATCTGAACAGGCTTCGAGCCCAACAACCAGATGGTTGTCTGCGACCCGCGCAACGGAAAGTACATGGCTGTCGCACTTCTGTACCGCGGAGACATCGTCCCCCGCGACTGCTCCGCCGCCGCCGGTGCCCTCAAGGCCAAGTCCTCCTTCAACCTGGTTGAGTGGTGCCCCACTGGTTTCAAGCTCGGAATCAACTACACCAAGTACGTCCTTCCTACCTTGTTACAATCAGTCCTTTCTAACAACACCCCAGGCCCATCAGCGTCCCCGGCAGCGAGCTCTCCTCCGTCGACCGCAGCGTCGCCATGTTGTCCAACACTACCGCCATTGCCGAGGCCTGGTCCCGCCTTGACCACAAGTTCGATCTCATGTACTCGAAGCGCGCTTTCGTTCACTGGTATGTGGGTGAGGGTATGGAGGAAGGAGAGTTCTCTGAGGCACGTGAGGATCTCGCTGCCCTGGAGAAGGATTATGAGGAGGTTGCTGAGGACTCGCTTGATGCGGAGGACGTTGAGGAGGGCGAGTATTAGGTTTTCAAAGATATGGAAAGGAGGCAAAGGGAATGATGTTGTTTGTAAGGCTTGCTACGACGAGCTGGGGGAATTAGTAGTCTTGGAATGGAGAAACTATGCGCGCATGCATAGTCTTACTTTCAAACGATATATCTGCTCTTGTTGGGATGTCAAAATAATGTGAATGATGGCACGTGAAACCCTCGATCGCAAAGCTTGTTGATTCTGAGAAGTAGCGATATTGTCGCAATTTATTGGAGCTATCTCGTTGGTCTCTCCACGATAGACCTTCAAAGCTGAAGAAAGAATTATTTACAAATTTACAGATTGAAGGAAAGGAGAGAGGAGCCCGGCGCACTGCCCTTGGCTATCTGTCTTGTCGACTAGTCTAGTGTAAATGGAGTACTAAAACGCTGAGCGATATCGCTGTACAGACGCGAGAAATAGAAGGAGGAAATGACAGAATGAGACTTTTTTTCCGACAGCTTCAACTCCACAGCGGTCTCGACACATTGAGTAAGAGGGTCAATGAGCTTCCTCAGTGAAACCTCCTCATCTCAATCCCTTCCGTGCGACTTCTCGCTGGTGGACCGAACGTCCTCTCACTATCCGCCGTACTAGGCGCCAACGCACCCGTACTCCTAGGCACATCCGCACTGCCCACCCTCGTAATAGGCACTTCATCCTCGCCGCCACTGCTCCTCACAGCCCGGGGACTAATAATGCCACTGCGTGGATCAAGCGTGTTCTTCTTCTTGGGCGGGGTATCGTAGCCGCTACCCTCGGGGATATCAGCCATACCAGCTTCGACATCGTTGCCAGAGCGGTTGCGACTGAAGAAGCGGTTTCGGTGCGTGCGTTCGCGGGTGGTGGACGAGGCGTTTGTGCCGACGCGTTGGAGGCCGGTGCTACGTGCGCTGTCATTGGATTGGCGATCGTTGTTTCGGTCTTGCGAGCGCGAGGGCGAGGTGACGCGGACGACGGTTGCGCGGGCGCGGGACGCGTTTTCGCGGTCGTCGAGGACGTCGCCGCTGGGGTCGTCTAGGCCCATGGATTTCATGCCGAGGGAGAAGTCGACGCGGCGGCCCATTGCGGAGAGGGTCTCTGGCTTTTTTAGAATGGAGCCGGTGCGGGTTGGTCCCGCGCCGGTTCCGGTGGCCGAGTCTGATGTACCTTCTGCGGGTGCGACGAATGGTTGGTCTTGAGCTTGGTTGCGGATGGTGCCGTTGGGGTGGTCTGGGTTGCCGTTGATACCGACACCAGGTGTAGCAGGGTTCTGCAGATTCTGCATGTAAACCGGGAAAGACTCCTTCTGGCCGGGGTAGCGCATACGGGGTCCTTCGATTTCGCATTCCTGGATTGCCATGGTGAGGGCGCAGATGAACTTGTTGCGGCGCTGCAATCTGAGCAGTTCGTTTTGCCAGTTGGACTTGTAGAAGAAGACGACGTTGAGTTCGAGCCAGTGGACTTCTTGGACGGCGCGCAATTCGGTGAGAATATTGGTCTGGTACTCGCGTTGCTCGGCGGTGACGAATTCGAGGAGCACGTTGCGGAGCTTTTCGATTTGCTCGAGCGTTGTACCGAACTTGATAATGATGGGGATGGCTTCGGCGAGGGCACCCGATCGACGGTGGTTAAGGATGAAGAGCGTGTTGAGGTAGCTGTTGGGCGCTTGGACAACGTGACCTTGCATCTTCTTGAACTCGGTGTAGAAGAGAGCGATTTCCTTGACGAAGTAATCATCACCGCGGCCGAGATCTCCGGTGTTACCGTAAATCATGACACGGTCACCGACATCGTAAGGGTGCTTGACGAAGACGAAGATGCACGACTGGAGGAACTCCTGAGCGGTTGCGGAGAAGAGCCAAGATAGAGCCAGAAGGGTCGAACCAGCGGATGTTAGGACACCGGCGGCGGAGGTCGAGATCAGCGAGATGAACACGATGATGGTGATGATCAGCACTATGAACATGAAGACATCGTCGAGCTTGGAGACGACGCTATCGAGATCCTTCAGGGAGGCGGTAATAGACTTGCGTTCACGGCCAATCTCGACGCAAACAGCCTCGAGTTCCTCCATGGAGATATCGCCGTTCATGTCCTTGTCAAACATGGAGAATGCGGCTGTGGCTTCCTCGTCGCTGTCGAAGGCATTGTTGAGATCCTCGGAATGAACAGTCTCGGTCTCAGGTCGCGCAAAGGTACGGTACAGACGGCGAGCCAGAACCTGAGCGCCGCTGGTAGTACCAATGAGTTGCAGAACAACCTGGTGAGGATGGCCACTGCCAGTAACCGCACGACCGGTGAAGTCCCCCGCGACCTTTCCAGCGATGTCTCCAAACTTGTTGAACCCGACTTTGATGTTCTTTTGCGCCTCTGTGAGAACCTGACCGGGAGTGCGTGCGCCCGATGGAGCATTGCCGTCCCCCTGCTCAAACTCGGAATCTTCCATGGCAATCTTCTCCTTGGAAAACCTGTACAGCTTGGCCAAACTACCAATCTGGAACTTGTTCAGCTCAATACGGTCCTGGTAAGTTCGCAGATGGAAGCTGATGGCGATGAGCTGGATAATGATCTTCTCGATGAAGTTGAGCACGAATCCGACGAAGAGAGCTACGAGGACCTTGTTCATGGTGCCTTCCCAGTCGCGTGTGTTCTTGTCGCCGTTGACGTGGTGGTTCTTCATTGTTGGGAGGAAAGACACTTCAATGGCCAACCACCAGAAGAACAAAGTAGCTGGAAGTTCGAGCTGCTTGCCCATGTCTCTCCACTTCTTGCTGTTGTTGGTGAAGAGGGAAGAGATGAGACCAATAGGCCACGGGAGGAGTTTCGCGAGTACCTGCGATGGATGTTAGTGGTTGTAAAACTAAAAAGACGGAGATACTTACTCTTCCAGCCCACAGTGTCAGCCATACAATCATGAGCCAAATCGAGAACCAGACAAGCTTGACTCCTCCAACATTCGCATTGGGGAATGCAAAGATGCCAACCATCAAAGGAATGAGGATCAAGAGCACCATGGGCGTAATGTACGTAAAGTACCTAACAAGCCATGATGAGTTGTGTACCTTCTTGAAGAACTTGGAGAAGCTTGTGGTCGGGTTTTCGGGTGGCGTATAGCGAGCCGCTTGTTCGTGCAATGGGTTCGTCGCCGCGTCGAAGTCGTCTACGAGGTCCTCACGGCGGGATCGCACGCGCGTCATGGATGGGTTCATTGACGCGTTGCGCCTAAGAGCCTCCTTCTCATCCAGACCCTGCTCAATGGCGAGCACTGCAAGGTCATCGTTGAGCCTGCTCGCCTGCTCACGCGTTTGCGACGGTGACTGTATGCCTTTCATTGCTGGGATATCATGTGCGGTTTCGACGGTAAGGTGGGTGCCAGATCGTGATCTGTTGTGCGGTGGCCGTGCGGCAGTATCTACACGCAATGGCCGCTGATGATCGTCCCCCACAACTGTGCCGTCCTCGTCGGAAGATCGCTGCTGGTGGTGGGACATGTTGCTGTCCATGTCGTATGTCGGCTCTGGCCGCTCATAATTTGGTGTACTCATAGTGGAGAGTCGCGCCCGAACCAAGGTTCGATAGGAAATCCGATCGAAAAGCTACCTTGGGAGAGCGATGAGGTAGCGACTGTGTTTTGATTTTGCGGCGATTTTTTGTAGATAACGCAAGATGCGATTGCTGAAACAATGGTATGCTTTTTCACGCCAAACCAGCAGTCAATGGCTTGCGCTCGCCCTTCCGGTGGTCCAGGGTCAAACGCGAACTGCTGCAACGGGATGACGTCAAGCTCGGTGCCGACGTATCCAGAAAATGTTTTAGCGAGTGACGGAGAAAAATGGCGTGTTCTGTAGTGATTAATGTGCAGTAGAGGTGGTGAGAAAAGAGAAGAAGACAACACAGTGGGATGGACAGCAGCGATGTTAGCAAGTGAGATGTGGAGCTCGCCCGGGGTTAAAGGAGCAGGAGCAGCGCTGGGCCAGGGATTATTTTTGGGGACTCCCGATCTGCGATTCCTGAAATTCGACGCCAACCCTTCGACAGTGACTGGCGCAGAGAAAAATGGGTCATGGAACCGACGGCGGACGTGTTGTGGCCATGGCAAGCACACCGGGTGGGCCGCGTCGCTTTGTCTAGAATCTCTGTTGGGACCGAATCTGGTACAGAAAGCTGTAAGGATACGCGTCTGCGCCAACCACAGCCATCGAATATACTAGAACGGCCCTCAACCACGGCTGCGGCTATCTATCTCGGTCGAGAATGCCATGACAGCGGCGTCGCATACGCCGTTAGGTCTGCCAGCACAAGCTCTTAGCGACAGCCACCGACGTCACGCAGCATCGCAATGCAGGTCCCGGACGCTTCCAGTGTCGGTCCCTCAAAACTCTGCAAAGTGTGTCTATTTTGAGCGTCTGCAGTTGATGAAGGTCGCGCGACAGGGCGAAAGTTGGAGAGAGGTGCGGCTCGGCCGCCCAGTCGGTCGTGACGCGTTCTAACTTTCCCAACCGTTGTTCTTTATCGCCTTTCACATGCCTAGGAAGCCTTATCCTTAATTTCCAGGGTCATTGCCGTTATCGCGGAAGGCTGTTTCAAACCGCCCGCGGCGTTCGAGAAAAGCTTGTCGCGTGCCGATCCTAATGCCGCCCCTGCATACCAAGGCTCTCCTTGGATCGCGTCGTGGGGGTCAGGATCGATGCACAACACTGACAGCACCAGAGATCTCGACTCCAGCGTGTCAGCGTCCAGACCCGCTGTATCGCACTGTCTCCATCTTTCTCCCCAGATGTGATCCGACGATGTGCGCAGGATGAGCGTTCCCTGTGCTGCATCAGTTCCAGACATCGGATAAGGCGGCAACTACCTCACACCTCGCTGTTGCACCAATTTAATGATATGGCGGACGGAAAACACTCCACAACGTCTCCATATTGACGAGTCGTGATTTCAACAGCGGACGTGTCCTCGCAGGAAGAAGTCTAAGCGATACGTCCTCAGCAGTCGTGGTGGAGGAAGGCCGCTCGGCTCGTACAAAGCCCGATTTCCGCCTGTACTAAACGTGGTGGGTCGCTCTGTAGTATGTCATAACCCGTATCCTGTGCGGAAGCGTCTTTAGTAACTTGCCGTCATGTAAGGTAGAACAATTCTTAGTGCACTACGTCAGAGCAGCATGCTTTTCAATTGAACGCCGCGGAGCTTTTGTTACGGTGTCGACTTGGGAGCTTCAAGATTAGGGCATGGATCGTGGCTGAGAACCTCACACCAATCCTTGAAGACATCATCATCACCTAAAAATCAAAGAGGTATGCAATAGACCTTCTCTTACAGTACAACTGTGGTTCTCTTTGCTCTCAATGATGATCAATGTACTATATTCGCCATGTGCATATTCGACAGCTGTGTATTTTGCGAAAGAGCGGACAATAAATATCTCCATGAGACAAGTTAACAGTACAAGCTATCAATGACATCATATTTCATGTCGGTAGGCTGCTCGAGAATATAATATGCTTGTTCGCTGTCGTTAAAGGAATTGATGCATTCAATGGTCGAATGCCATGGCTTGCCGAAGCACTATTGTCCCGTGCAGTATGGGACGATACACTACTATATCAGGCAATATCCGGCTTCCGTCGATTGTAGCGTCCCTGTCTGTGAAAAGCAAAGCTCTCGTAGTAGTCCAGTTCAGGGTAAAATTGGCGAGGGAACCCTCTTCACCCAAAATTCGCAGCAATCGATGGACGTGAGACAACTGCCTATCTGAGCATGCATTCATTTGGTCTGCTTTCTGTTTGAGTAATGAGTGGATAGGCAATGTTTGAAAAGGCGTAAAATGTCGCAGTACGGCGGCGAAGTGGATAAGAAGAGCACGCAGCACAAGAGAAAGCCGAAGGACGAAATGAAGCTCATGTCCTCCATGCTACATTCTGCTGGAATCTACACCTTAGCGAACCTTCCCAATTGGGCATGAAGTAATCATGGATACAAACCTCATGTCTACGAAAGATAGATTCGGGGTTAAGAAGGCAGGAGTCCGCAAGATACACTCACCGCACTGTACTATAGGGAAGTGGGAAGGTGAACATTGAGAAGTGAGGTGAGCGGACTCCATTCACACCTGCTAGAATCCACGCTCACAGTTTATTACCCAATGCAGTAATCGTGAACTTACAAACCTCATACATCTTGAAGCATGTAGGAGTAGACACGAGTAGAGACGACGGGAATGTTGTGATGTTGCTGGAGACTCTGCTCGTCCCGATCGGGCTAAAGTCGCGAGGACATCACGTCATACCAGAACGAGGAAGGCGCGACGCGAGCTCTCAGATGCGCATCTTCCCCGCAAACTCTCTTGACTTTTGCAACCACACAGTCACAATGTTCAGCTTACCGAGGATATCACTGCCTTCTTTTCTTCGCGCTGGCGAAGGCACGCATCTCACCGTCGACCTCCCCTCTGTAGAAATCCACGACATCGAGACCTCGGCAGAGAAGCGACCGCGAACCCTCAAGCATCTACTCAAAGCGAACCACGCCAACTACGCAATCATATACCACAACCTCACATTTCACAACCATACACCGCACGTATGCTGCTCCTCCTGTAAAGGCTGTAGCTGCTAAGCATGTACCCTAGATCCTGGGATCGGCTTACCTTCTGGGAGGCACCGCAGAGCATCTGAACGAGATCTACGAGAGAGAGGCGGAAGTGCTGGAACCTTGGCATGATGCGCCTGGTGAGATAACAAAGGACGACTGGCGAGAGTACCTGGGGAAGCGCGAGTAAGTAGCTGCATGATGGTGCGATTCAATAGGATTGGGGTCAGTCGCTAATGGGCAGCCAGATACCAACGCGCATTCATTGATTTCTTCGAGGATCAGCTCGTGAGCAAGAAGTACGATGTTGAGGAAGTTCTTGAGGAGTTCTTGCTCAAGGGCAAAGAACCGCTGATCAACGGCCTCATTTCAGGACGTAAGTTTGCGCTCTTCCGAAGCCCGAATATCGCTAATCCCATGCAGTTGCGCATCCTCTCATTCATCTCGGCTACGCTTACGAGCTCAACTCCACGACCGTTGCGATCGAAGCCCTAGCGATGGGCTCTTGCTTCTACAGTCCGCTCCATAAATACATCGACGATCCAAAATACACGAAGCCCAGCCCTCACGAGGCGACTGGGAACCACACCGGGCTCATCGATTTGTTGGACAAGGTGCGGAAGGATAAGCGCTTCGATGGACTGTACGATCACCGTAGCGGCGATATCACGAAAGTGCTAGAGGAGCGTGAAGAAGCCTTTCTGGAGTACTGGAATGCTTGGGAAATTACTGCCCCGAACGAACAGTTCCAAGCTGCTCAGGAGGTCGGCTTGGGGCTTTTGACTGGAACACCACGACCGGGGAAGGGAAAGTACGACTTCTTCCTTGTACATGTGCTTACAAGCTCTCACGCTATTCGCATCCTTCTCCCGTTGATACCGGCCAAGTTCCATGTCAGTCTTCTACGGCAATGGTGGCTGTTCGCGCTAGCTGTATACATTGCCCAGACGAGGCCAGAGATCGATATGGGTAAAGCGATGACTGGTGACGACAGCCAGAAGAAGACTTGGAAGCATGTTGTAACCAAGGCCTTGAACGGACCACATTCGACTGATGCGCATTACGTCAAAGGTATGTTACGAGCCTCTTGCCGAACCGCGGTGTTCTTGACTGACATGGCGCAGCATTGCGTGCGTTGAAGGTAGCGGAGGAGACATGGGAAAGGGGTAGTGACAAATCAAACCACTGGCTCAGTGCAGCAGTCAAGTTCGCGGACGAGTTTGAGGGCTGGGGAGGATTTGGAACAGCGGAAGACGAAGCAAAGATGGGATATCCTGAGAAGCAGTAAGATTTACTATACAAGATAGCAAAGATAATGTATGCGCAGGTCTGGCTAGGTGGAACGTTCTCAACCTGCTTGACAGTGACGCACTCACGTGGTCTGATGTGAATTTGGCGCAGAACTGATCATTCACCACCTTCTGCCTTTCGTCTGCTGACTCTATCTCCTGGCGACAGTCACCATCATTACCCATAGCACGCAATACACTCTAGCACCTGACCGCAAGGACTACCTACTTCTCTCTTCTGGAAAACCGTGAGTACCAGCCTCCGCCATTCAGCTGCATTCAACCATACGATGGACCCAAATCCCCTTACCACCACTCCAGCTCTATGCACTCAATACAAAATTTACTGGCGAGAGTGCGGCCATGAGTACAGCAACGTCGGCGATGTAGTCCCCTGCCAAGCAGCTGCGAACAACCTCCCATGTGCATGTAGGACAAATCTAAGAATCGTGCGCGACACGACTACCTCTCGAGGCGTAGATGGTCATACTAGAGTGCTGAGTGATGGAACTGAGACTGGGTTTTGCAGGCCGTGTAGATTGGAGAACGAGAGGGAGAGGAGGAAGGAGGCAAAAAAGCAGAAGAGGAAGGTGAGCAAGGCAGATAAGGGTAAGAAGGTAGACGGCGGTAGCAAAGTCAGTGGAACGGGTGGTGAAGGTAGAAGCGGATTCGGAGGTGGGTTTGGAAGGGAACGGAATGTTAGGGTGGAGAAGAAATATGTCAAAGTGGATGGAGGTGGGATTGGGAGTAAAGATGACTGGGAGGTAGGGATGCCGCCGAAGACGACTAAGCAGTACCAAATGGATTTGAGAAGGCTCAAAGAGAGCATTGGGAGGGATACCGGGAAAGCGATGAGTTTGTGAGGGGGCTTAGTGTGGAGTGGTAGTTTGGTAGCTGGTAGAGAGGTGACCAATGGTTCGATATGTAGGCGTTCTCGTTGGCTAGCCAAGCATGAAACCATGGTCGACGCCCTCGCTTTTCAAATATATCTTCCATTTCAACTTGTAGATAAGAAAGCATCATCGCAAGCATTTCACTCACTTCATACTTTTCATCCACAAATACCACAGCAACATAGCCCCAAGACAATTTCGCAACACCGCTTTAGAAGATGTCCAACATGTCACTCCAACCACTGTGGCCAACGCGCCCACAAGCAATCCAAGTAGATCTCATCATGACGCGAGAGCTCCTCCGCGTCTTATCTCGCGGTGGGAACGGCCATCCTCTCCACCACGACTCCCTCTACCAGTCGACCTACCTATCTAGCGCGATGGCCTCACAACTTCTTTACAATTGGCCAGTCCTCCAGGCTCGCGCGCTCGCCCCTCTCTTCCTCAGTCTCAAACAGAGATATGAATTACAAGCGAGGCACTACCGAGCTTGGAGGATGTTGGTCACCAAGGGCCTTGCAACGGAGGAAGCGATTCGTCTTCCGATTGATGAGCGCAGCTCGGTGAATAAACCTGCGGTTTGGAAGTTGCTTGATAAACTCTCTGCTTTCCCGAAGTTTGGGGCGGTGGACATATTGGAGGTGGGAGGGCTTAAGTGTCAATGCCGGAACTGCTCTGAAATGGCATTAGATTTGGAACAAGACAGGGGGGATGTGTTCGTGCAGCCGGGGTACTGGTTTGCGGCGGTCGTATTGAGGTCAAATTGCGACGTTGAGAGTGTAATGGAGGCACTGAAGACATGGGGTGGGTTTGGAAAGTGGGATGCGGACCATAGATGCTATGTGCCTGATGAGAAGCTGAAGGAGGAGTTGGTACATGTTGAGAAGGTCAAGAAAGAGGAAGACAGCCTTGAGAGAGGAAGCATAGGTACACTGTTCGGAGAGGAGATCGAAGAGGCAGAGGACGATGTTGAGCATACCGAAGATATCGAGGACTTATCTTCACTACAAACCGAAATCTACAGTGAGGGCGACAGCTCCACAGGCATCGAAACACCGCCTTCGACAACCGAGGAGCTTATAGATCCTACACTCACGCTGTCACCCATACCGAAGCCAACGGACCCCTGCCCAGAACACTGTCCCTCCCGCCGGCGTCGCCTCCGCGATAACGTCCGCGATCCGAAATATCCATCGTGTACATACCACTGCCACAATCCACATGCTCCTTTCGAATTCGAGCCAAGCGGCGAGCAAGTCGGCTTCTGGCTTCCACATGGACTGCAGGATGAACAAGCACGGAAAGAATGGACAGTGGCGACTAACAAGAGAATGAGGGACTTTAGGATGGCATGCAGAAGTCTGTTTGGGAATGATTGTGCGGGTGTGAAGGCAACTACAGAGGTTCAGCGGTGTGCGTGGGATTTCATTAGAGCGGATTATGGGTATGGTGAGCGGAGGGACTGAAAAGTTGCTTCTGAGGTGGTTTACGTATGTAATGAGTCGTAGAATACGATAATTGAATGTCGCGCAATATGGTTCGGCCTGATGATGTGTTATCTAGTGTTCAGTCCACTGGAAAACCTATCCAAGGTTGCGTTCTGAACTCCTCGTCTCCGTCAAGACTCTCAACTCAGGCGAGATATTTGCAGCTACCGATCGAAGAATATTGAAATCGTTAACTATCTCGGGTAGAGTGCTAAATGGAGACTCCCGAGGTCGATTCGGAGCTCGATAGCGCGTGGCATGGCCGGCCGCCTGCAGAATTTATCCGCCTGACATGAACGCTGTTGTGTAAATTCACACCCTGCTAGGATGTGCCGATGTGGTGGTTCAAAAACGTCTCCTGGTGTATCGTAGCACTCAATCGTTACCCCTCACTACCCAGATATACTCTAGCTTAATTAGTGTCTTGGCGTCATGCCATCCTCACTTGGGCCGAGTTCGCATCACCAGTCTCAACTCGCCCTTTACAACACCCATCTCAACACTTGTATACCATCATCGCCAGCATTACCTAGATATACGCAGAACTTTTTCCGGTGGCTCGATCCGTTCTTGTGAAAAGGAGCGTGTCCCTCCGTTCAGCCGCAAGCCAATCAGCCATGTTGCCAGGGTATGGGTGCAGTCGCAATCTCAAGAGGCCTGCTTCGCGAAGTCGAAGACCCTCGCTTTCTGACAGGCGAGCGTCACGCCATCGCGCTACAGGCTAACAGAGGCTTTCGTCCGACTAACCGACAAGGAAGACCTAACACCAATGATGCGGACCGCTCCCGACACTGCTTTAGTCTGGAGATCACATCCCAGCCTCGCCCTTAGACTTGATACTTCCTGCATACCTTGATAAAACCTGCTTGCGCCCCGAGGCTTTGGGTAATCGCCGTCTAACCTAACTACTGGAGTCGAGCAGCCGTTCACCAAGCGCGCAACTTGAACCACCTCCGGATCAGTCAACTCCTGAGACAACGCCGTACACGTGGCTGTGTTGGTGTGCCCACTTCACACCAGTTGCAGCACACGTTCGCAACTACAACGATAGGCCACATGCTGTGCCCCTCCGAGCTTTCCGCGAGATCGTAAGGTTGCGCGAAAGGTTCCTCGACTGCCTCAGCAGAAACACATGAGGTGTCGAGCGTTCTGTGAGGTAATGAAAAGCTCTTTTAGCCGGCGTGCCAGCCGCTTTATGCTCAACGCGACATTGCCACTATGGTCTCCCAACTGCTATACTTTTGCGCAGCTGCATGTGGCACAGCTCTGCTGTGCTACTCATCACGAAAAGAACCGCACTGGCGGGTCCGTACCTGATACGCTCACCCTGCTTCTTGCTACCCGCGCCGCTCACCCCACATTCCATACAACATGTCCGTTCTCGCAGTAGTCGTCGATCGGCTTCTGCTCAACAGCCTTTCTAGCGTATGTCTAAGACGATGTATCAAGTCATCTTGTCGGACTTGAATTGGACGCCCATCGTTCAGATCATCACTTGGTTCACTCTCGTAACCAGTCTCCTGGCGTTCTTGACGCATGCCGGCATCAAGTTCTACGTGTTTCGGACGTTGACTATCGAGTCATGGCTCGTACTTGCATCCCTGGTAAGTCAAGCATCAACAGACTCAGCAACATTTGCTAATAAGTATTGCCAGATATTTTGCGTCGCACAATCTGTCGCCGTATTGCTGCAAGCACACTACGGTTTCGGGAAGCCGATCGCGACTTTGAGTGGATATCAGATCGAGTCGAATCTCCAAGTAACCTTCTACCTCCGCTTGAGTACCTGGTCCGGAGCGCTGATATGAGCGAAGAGCGAATATGCCGCAATGATACTCTTCATTCTCTCCCTCGGCTTCTCGAAGCTTGCTGTCGTCGCATTCGTCCATCATCTGACTCCATCCGACCTCCACCGCAGAATCAACTTCGGCGTCTTGGCTCTTATAATCTTGTGGCTGGTTTGTTCTGTGTTGGTCGCAGCATTCGAGTGCCGGCTGCCACGACCATGGGACAGAACATTGGATCAGTGCATCGACCGTGTCAGTAATCTACGCAGATGCGTAGTCGGCTTCTGCTGACGTTAGGCAGTTGACCTGGTGGAATACGGTCTCATGCTTCAATATCATGACAGAGCTCGCGATCGTGGCCTTGGAATTGGGCATAACAGCGCAACTTCACATGCGACGGCAACGGAAGGCAGCGGTCATGGCTTTGTTCTCATGTCGTTTATTGTGAGTACGAAGCCCTACACGTATCTCAAATACTGACAAGCTACACAAGAGTTCTTGTTGCTGCTGCGGTTCAGCTTAGCTTCTTCAATCGCGACAGCACCAATTCCGCTTTGAAAGACGACATGACACTCGGTTACTGGCGCTCGTCTATCTGCAACCAGATTGTGCAATGTTTTGCTATCGTCACTACATGTCTTCCGTATACCAAGCTTTTCATGGAGGGTTTTGAGTCAGGACTTATGCGATTGGACGATCTGCGCCGTCGAGGAGAGCAAACCTCCAAAGACGACAGCAAAGGATACCAACTCATGGACATATCGCGATCGGGACGCTCCGAAAATTCCAGACCCTCATACAGCGGGCCGGATAGGAGCATCCAAGTATCGAAGAGTTGGGCAGTGCAAGTAGAACCAGTAGCCCGCATGCCGGCTACAACAATACTGCAGTAAATCTATATCTATAGTATGTAACACAGTCTAGAAAGCACAAACCAACACATGTAAAAATTGGCGCGGCATTTCAGAAACGCACACCCTTGCTGTACCCTCGTTTCGCAGTGCAGGTGGCACGGCACGCAGCATATGCGCCTAGGTTTCTTCCAGCAGGTCTTCCGGATTGGGACAACTGGTGCTACGATCCTATTGGTGAACAGGCTATAGGTCAACGGTCGGGATCATTACGAGGATCATCTCGGCTACAATGTTGTGCATAAGCGGCCCTAGTTCTTCATCTATGCGGCTACTTGGTTCTAACGGCAACTCGGTTCTTTCTCTTTATCCTTCTGCTTATTCTCTCTTTCATCTCCTCCATCATCGGTCGTCTCACGAGTTCCGCTCTTATTGCTGTGTCGACTTTTCACCTGTACTCGTATTGGTGGCACGATGGCGTTCTCCTCGACTAAATCCAGTGAGCCGGAACTAAATACTCTAAGGCCACGTTCTAGCGACAAGCACGATGATCTTGCTCTGGCAAGACTGGGGAAGAAAGCTGTGCTGAAGGTATGTATCCCTCTGCATTGATCACGAACATGGCTGATGCAAGTACAGCGTCGCTTCGGCTTCCTATCTATCCTCGGTTTCAGCTGCACTGTCTTGATCACCTGGGAAGGATCTCTTGTGTACGTCGTACTACCTCGTAATACACGTTGACACGTCGCTGACAGTTTCTCAGGTTGTTCCTGGTCGGCTTCCAGAAGTGAGTACACAGCATGACACAACACATCGACCATGAGACAGTTGTGCTGAAAGAAGCAGTGGCGGCCCCGCTGGTGTCATCTATGGCTACCTCATCGTATGGCTCGGCACCGTATCTGTGTTCATGGTGCTCAGCGAGCTTGTTTCAATGTACGTCCGGCTTGAAATCCGCGTTTTACGACGAGGAGTCAATTGCTAACCCTCCTCAAAGGGCGCCTACATCTGGTGGTCAATACCACTGGGTTTCCATGCTGGCACCAAAAAGCTCTCAAAAACTGTTGAGTTACATCTCAGGTGTGTAAACCTAAACCCGACGATCTCTATCGATAGCGTATGCTAACGCGGCTTCCCCGCAGGGTGGCTCACTCTCTGTGGCTGGCTAGCATCACTCGGGTCCGGCGCTTTCCTCACTGGTGGCCTCATTCAAGGCCTTCTCATGCTCTGCCAACCGGATACGTACGTCCCTCAGAACTGGCACGTCACTCTCCTCTACTGGGCCATCATCGCGTTCTGCGTCTTTATCAACATTGCTGCTGGATGGCTACTACCCAAGTTCGAAGGAGCGCTATTGGTCTTGCACATCCTTGGTTTCTTCGCCATCTTGATTCCCTTGCTGGTTCTTGGGCCACAGGGCAATGCGAAAGAGACCTTTACCACGTTCGTAAACATGGGACATTGGCAGAGTCAGGGGTTGAGCTTTTGCATTGGCATTATGGGAAGTGTCTTTGCGTTTGTTGGCGGTGATGGGCCGATTCATGTGAGTGTCTGCCTACTTTAGATCAACTTCCAGCATCCGGCTTCGCAGCAAGACACTAACACATCAATATAGCTATCCGAGGAGATTCAAAACGCACAGATCGTCGTACCTCGCTCCATCATGACTGGCATCGCCATCAACGGCTCTCTTGGCTTCGTCATGATGGTCACCGTGCTCTTACGAATGGGTGATCTCGATACTGTACTTCTAGAGAACCCTGCGTTCCCGTTCATGGCCATCTTCCACCGTGCCGTTCAATCACGCTCCGGCGCCGCCGTCATGGCATCCATCGTCATGGTGCTGACCATCAGTGCGAACGTGGGCTTCTCCGCATCGACATCGAGAATTTGCTGGGCTTTTGCTCGAGATCGGGGTCTACCTGGATGGAGAACCTTGAGCAAGGTATGCATACTTCAAAGCCCTGTGTTTGAAAGAAAAGTAGTATTAACATCAACCAGGTCAGTGATCGTACATCCATCCCCGTCTACGCCGTAGCCTTCACAAGCTTCATCGCCTGCCTTCTCGCACTAGTAAACATCGGATCCACCACCGCCTTCAATGGCGTAATCTCCGTCGCTATCGCCGGCCTCTTCTCCTCCTACCTTCTCACATCCTCCCTCCTCCTCTACCGCCGCTGCACCGGCGCCATCCTCCCACCCAGCGAATCCTTCGACACAGACAGCCAGTCCACGACCAGCGACGGCATGGTCCGCGCTGTATGGGGCCCCTGGCGTCTTCCTGGTGCTATAGGCATCGCTAACAACGTCTTTGCCTGCGCCTATCTTAGCTTTGTTTTCTTCTTCAGTTTCTGGCCTAGCTTTGCGGAGGTTACGCCTGCGAATATGAATTGGGCAATCTTGGTAACGGGTACGATAGCGGTCATCAGTGCGGTTTATTATGCGGTTTGGGCGAGGAAGACGTATCATGGGCCTGTTATTGAGATTGATGAGCGAGATTTGAGTGGGAGGGTTAGTGTCGTGGAGCAGCGTCTTGAGATGGGTAGTAAGTAGATGCATTGAGGTTGGTTTATTGTACCGTATGCGACAGGCGGGTAGAGTATTTCGATACTGGAATGAATTGTGTTTGTTTGAGTGTTCAAGAGGTTACATAGAAATTATTCTTGTTACGCTACGCACGTACGCGTCCACTTTAGGGTCCATTTCGCTATGGCTACCTCGGCGTGCGAAGAAGTCATCTACAAATCCCCAATTCCATAACCCCCACATATCCCGCTTACTCCAACTTATCATCCACAATCTCAACCCCCACACCATCCCCAAGTTCCTCCAAAAACGTCCTGCGTATTCCCTCCCTCTCCCTCTCCCCCACACCAGAAACATCCCTCAACACAACCAGTTTCAATCTCGGCAGTCCACAAAGCATAATGTATTCCCGAATCCACAACCATCTCCCCGTCGGATAATATTCATGGTCCGTAACAACCAGCTCAATCCTGTTTCTCTGTCCAATCGTAAACCTGTGTAACATAGAGTGGAAACCCGCGAGTACCGTTGCGCCGAAGGTGTTGTGCATGAAGGGGTAATAGGCTCCTAGGTCACATCGGATTTGGCGGCAGACGAGCGGGAGGTTGATGGCTAGATTCTTTGGGATGGGATGCATTTCCCAGGTTTTTTGGTGGGGTGGGCGGCATCCTAGTCGTTTTTTCTTCTCATTAGTGGGAAGGGTTACGAGGTAGATTTCATGACCGCCCAGGGCGTAGTAGTAGATTTGGTTTCGGATTTCGCTGGGCAGGCGGAGGAAGGGGGAGTTCAGTTGGTTCTGTGAGGCGATGGCTTGGTGGGCGGCGGAGATAGTTTTTGAGGTTCTTGGTGACATGATGGTGGTGTTGAGATCGGGGAGAAAGTGGTATGGAGGAATGGGATTGAGGTGTAAGGCTATATAACCGTATGTGAGAAAGACGTTCTTTTGGAAAGGACAGTCCTAAGGGCATGATCCATGGGTGGCCAGACTCATACTTCTCGAAGTGAGTCAGTACCAAAGTATCACTACAAATCATCGAATCAACAGCTCTGCATTGGAACGTAAGACACACCTATCCGCACCCAATAGCAGGCATAAGAAGTCCACTTATCTTCCTTTCGGTACCAACGAGCACCTACCTTACCCCATCTACATCTCTCTTCCATTTCAAAACTTCCTCATAGCATCATTGACCAGATCCGCGCCAAACGTCGCTCCAGCCCCGTAAACCGCAGCATTCCCAAATTTGTGCGCTAGCTTACTCGCCCATTCGTGGTGCTATCCTTCAGTCAGCTTCCCTAACTTCCAAACGTCACTTGCGGACTTTTTTCCTTTTTCCTTTCTTGCCTTCCAAACTCGTAGTCTTGATGTAGCGTGTGGCATGAAATTTAGCAACATAAGAGCATACCTTTGGATGGTTCGGATTCGCCGGATGCGCCGGATCCTGCGCTTGTTGCGCGACGAGCGCGGGGTTGAATTGGTTCCCTCCATCTACATACTTGGGATCGATGTATTGGGAGGGTTGGCCGTTCGGTTGCTGGTGCCCGTTAACATCTGCTCTTAGTCTCCACCTACGAACTATACTCTTCCACTTCTTGAGTCCAATCATGAGTCAAGCAGACAAGACAAAGGTAGGAAAGATGTAGTAGAAAGTATACGTACAGGTAACTGCGCCTGAATAGACTGCAACTGCGGCGCCGCCAAAACACCACTTGAGACGAGATACTCGAGTTCGGTTTTGATGGTACTGATGGAGCGGTTGATTTGCGCTGCGTCTGGCATCTTGATGGTATGCTCTCTTTCTAACGACTAAGAATAAGAGGGAATAGATGGACTTATTACAAGGGAAGCAGTAAAAAGAGTAGTAGTTCACTGCCAAGTTAATGCGTGTTTCTTGGCAGAAAGCTTGATTGAGATACGATCGAGGCGTCGATGGTGGGGGGTGGGGGATGTGCAAGTGACGTCAATATTCTAGACTGCTGGTTCCGTCCGAAGCCTACTTAGATACACACAGCACTCAAACCACACGAGATAGAGTTCAATGTATAACTTTCTTTCAATAGCTTATACTAGCGAGCATGATCTCGCATCTCTATACGATATACAATTCTATAGTCCTTCCCATCCAACAATATCGGAACAGGGTATTTTCTATGGACCTTTCTTTCGGGACGCCAATGACAAGAGATTTCGTAGCTATACACAACAAAAGCAGAGAGTAGGTCCTGTTTGATGGGCGACCTTTCCTCTTTTTTACTCCTTCTTCGCTTTAGCGGGCTTCTCACCCTTGCCGGTAGGGTCATCCATCTTCAAGGCGCGCTCATCCTGTTCGGCACGCTCGGCGCTTCCACCGGCGGCATCACCAGCGCTGGCCTCGGCTTCTTTGCTCTCCTCTTCGGCCTTGGCTTCCTTTGCCTCCTGTGCGTCCCGGGCAGGCTTCTCGTCAATGTCCTCGTGGTCCTTGGGCGAGGCTGTGGCCTTGTTCTCAACGGTCTCGGTTTGCTCGTTCTCCTCGTTGATGAGTTCTTGCTGCTCCTTGAGGACCTCAAGACGCTGCTTGTTGGTTGCGGCACCTTCGGCGTTGCGGACCTCGAGATCCATTTCGTGGTACAGCTCCTCAGGGATACTGGAGAGGACGGCTTCCAAAGCATCAATTTGAGAGGTCATCTCGGTCTCCTTGCCCTGGGCGTAAACGAATGCGTTGGACAGCACGAGAAGAGTTGATGGAACGCCGTGCTTCAGGCGGAGATCGAGCCAGCTAGTGAGGTCGTCCCGTAACCGGCCAGGAGAGACACCATAGGTTCGTAGACCGCGGCTGGCACAGGCAGTCTGAAGCTCAGGAACGGAGAGACTTTCAACACCTTCGTAGGCAATGGCTCGGTCGTCACGCTTGATCTGGCGCATGCGCACGCGGACCTGGTAGCGCAGGAAGTTGTCTGTACCGAAAGAGGTGATGTTCATGTAGCGGCAGATGGAGACCAGCTGAGGGCGAGACAAGTTATCCAGGGTGAGGTCGTCCTTGAAAATCTTGCACACCTTGATGATCTCCTCTGGTGTTGGCTTCTCTCCCGTGGTGCGCACCTTGCGGAAGAATTCGGCAAACTCCTCTGTCTGCGCGTTCTCAGCAGAGACAGGCAGGCCAGTCTCCTTGAGTGTTTGACGAAGGAAATCGCTAACGTCCTTTCGGGTCGCTCGGAGCGTCTGGGCTTTGGTGTCCTTAGCCGACTGACCCTCGTACGTGCTGGGCAGCATGTTAGGGAAGAGCTTGAGCGCTACAGGGAGCAGCAGTTCGGCGAAGGGGACGATAACGAAGGGCAGGAAAGGTACCAAGCGGGCCAGATCCTGTACGGTACGTTGCAACTAGGTCTGTTAGTATAATTCACAAATACTGGCTTCAAACACGTACTTGTCGACGCTCACGGCGGGTAAGCTCGTACCCAGCGGCCATCTTGAGAGCGAGTTTGGAGCTAATCCGGACCTCGAAGCCCAGCAGCTTGGTGCCATCCCAGTAGTGGACCAATTCCTTCTTGACCTTTTGCCAGACGGTCAACTTCTTCTTCTCTGCGTCCCTTTTGGCCAGAATCTTCTTCTCGTCCTTGGATTCAGCAGCCGACTTGTCCATCTTCAGCTCGCTTAATGTTTGGACATCTTGCGCGGGTGTCTTCGGGTTGGAGGTTGCGCCAGACTTGGGGATGATGGGGTCCGACTTCTCGACAGACTGTTTTGACTGTTGCTGGGGCTTGAGGAGGTGCTGGTTGGCCTGCTTGGGGTCGAAACCAGGAGGCGGATAGTTTTGCGCATTGTTCGATGTCGACTCAGTTTGGAGGGCGCGTAGCGGAATGAGGATGCGAATCGCGGGTGAGTTCCTCAGCATGGGGCGATGAGCTCTGGTAGTGGTCCTGATGCCCGCTCGGAATACTGCGGGCGCTGCCCTGGAGGCAGTGCGACCGGCGTACATTGCGCCGGGGGAAGTGTAGGGAGTGACGTATATAGTACAACGATTAAAGTAGTGTGGGTAGTGAATCAACAGATGAAGGGTAGAAAAGAGAAGGCTGTGTGTGTGTTGGGAATTTGATGCAAGGAGTGTGGAGTGATGCAGCTCTGAGAAAATGGGTTCCTCTGACGTTGCGTCTTCGGACTTAGTCTCAGGGACCGCCGGGCGATCTGCTGGGTAAAGCTTGGTCGCCACCAACGGGCGCATAAGCCATTCGCCTGACGCGCATCATGGTGACAGCTAGGAAGATACCGGATGGACGCATGACATGTGCGCCATGGGACGCTACAGGCAGGCAGCAACATGTACCTCGGATTTGTACGAAGAGACGTAAGGACCAATGGGTATTCTCTATGTGTGTCGGCATATTGTCGCCAATTGGCCGAGGCGCTGGGGTCTCCGATGTCCGCAAGAACGACAGCGCGGCTTGCGAATGGCATGCCGTGAATGCTGGGCCGTCCCCTCACTCCACGCCTATCCGACGGTAATCGTCCCTCTCCCATCTTAACCCAGGTTCCGCGTCTGGGCACTCCATAATTCCTCCTGTCACTTCTCTCCGTACCCTAGTTCCGATCCTCCATTTCATTCCACACAATTTTCGCCATGGATTTGTTTTAGTAACTACGAGCCCTCGGCGGAGCCCTCGAGCTTTATTCACCGTACCGACCTGGACTACACCTAGCAGCATTTTCCTAGATCGCCTCTATAGCATACAGCAGCGACAACACACATTACAACAATGACCGTCCAACGGTTGTCCAAGGCCGCCAGGATCATACTGGTCGGCGCGCCTGGCGTCGGGAAGGGAACTCAGACGGAGCGCATGATGAAAAAATTCCCTGAGCTCTCGTCAATCAGCTCTGGCGATTTGCTGAGGAAGAATGTTCGGGAGCGGACACCTCTCGGTATGCGCGTTGCTCTCTCCATACCGAAAAATGCTGACTTGCGCAGGCATACACGCCGAATCCACGATGAAGGCTGGCAAACTAGTACCCGATGCCATGATCCTGCGCCTCATCGTCAACGAACTCACGAACCGCGGTTGGATACGAGACAACGCTTTGCGGCCATATGCGCTCAACTTCAGCTCCATGGACGTGCCAGAGACGACGGTAGATGCAGTCATGATCCCCTCGGCGGTACGGGCCCCCCGCTACACCTTCTCCAACAGGCCATCGGCTTCATTTATACTCGACGGCTTCCCAAGAACCGCCGTCCAAGCGATACAGCTCGACAACATCGTACCCATCAACATGGTAGTCAACCTCAACACCCCGAGTGACATCATCATCGATCGCATATGCAACCGCTGGGTACACGAGGCATCGGGGCGTGTCTACAACACGACATTCAATGCGCCAAAGGTGGATGGCAAGGACGATATCACGGGCGAGCCGCTGACACAAAGAGCGGATGATGACCCAGAGGTGTGGAAGGCGCGGTTGAAAAACTTCAAGGAACACAGCGAGCCTCTGCTGGAGCATTACGACAAGCTTGGCGTGCTCTGGACGGTCAACGGGAACAGCAGCGACGAAATTACCCCGCAGCTTTTTGAAGAGTTCAGCAAGCGCTTCGGCGCCCATGACGATTGATGTGTTTTCCATGTCTCGGATTAGGTCTTGGTTGGTTAAAGGTCACTCACGATACCTCTGTTTTCTCTCACAAGGGTGGGCTATGTTTGGCGGCATTTCGGTGTGGACGCGGCAATTGCGCGTGTTTGTTAGACAAGTCGCACTTTCTCCATTCACTGTACATGCTTGGTGACCCTCCATGGTTGTGGCGGTTAGCTGCACTCGTTATACACTATTAATCATATTTGTAAAGCTCGCTCACTACATCATGGTCGCTGTAAAAGACTCTCATTGGCTTCATAGGAGCGCCGACAACTTTGAAGCCATGTACGAGCGCGTCAGGAATCGTGCGCCCACCTTGGAGGGCGCTAAGCCCGGGTACCCAGCCGACGTCACCGATTCACCTCCGAGCTGTCCAACACAGCCCACGCCAACAAGCCCGCCATATCAGTTCGACGATCTACTCGACGACCCCGAATACGACCGGATTAGCGACTTTGACGAGCTTGAGAAAAGCCGCCTCATATACATCCGCGATCCGCAGGAGGTCCGCAGACGCGCAATGGCGGCCGACTTCAGCGAAGGGCGCCTGGAGACGTTTGTCGGCAGCCCGCAGAAAGAGCTGCCAGGCACACCAAACCAATATGTCTCGTACCTCGTAACTACAAAGGTGTGCCTCTTCCTGCAGCTCCACTGTTCCTACGTGTTCGGGGTCTAATAACATCCCCGCAGTCCGACTTCCAGTCCTTCCAGAAACCCGAATTCTCCGTCCGCCGCCGCTTCACAGACTTCGTCTTCCTCTGGAAACAGCTCTCGAAAGAATACCCGCAATGCGCCGTCCCGCCGCTGCCCGACAAGCACAAGATGGAGTATGTGCGTGGAGACCGCTTTGGCCCGGACTTCATGCAGAGACGCGCCCACTCGCTGCACCGCTTCCTCAAGCGGATATCACTGCATCCAGTGCTACGGAGAGCGGCCCTGGTTATCAACTTCCTGGAGAGCCCGGACTGGAATCAACACATGAAGGGACGGTCATCAAGAGCTGCAAGCGGCTCCGACCAGGGCGGCGGCGGCTTCGTGGATGCTGTCACAGAAAGCCTCATCAACACCTTTAGCAAGATTCACAAGCCGGACCAGCGCTTCATCGAAGTTGTCGAGCGTGCCAACAAGCTCGGCGAGGATCTGAACAATGTGGAGAAGGTTACCGTCAAGGTAGCCAGGCGACAGGGTGATCTGGAGACCGACTACGCCGATCTAGCGACACAGTGCCAAAAGCTGACGACCATGGAACCTGCGGTCGAAGGGAACCTGACATCCTTCGCTGCTTCTGTAAATACAACCTCACAGGGGTTCAAGTCTATCCGCGACCACACAGACCAGAACTACCTCACTAGTCTGCGCGACATGGACGCATACATCCAGGCCGTCAAGACACTACTCCGCACACGAGAAGGCAAGCAGCTCGATTTCGAACAGCTGAGTGAGTACCTTGCCAAATCTGCCGCGGATCGGGATTCGTTGGCTAGCGCGACAGGGGCCGGCATGGGTGCGTCTGGCTTCCTGCGATCCAAGGTAGAAGACTTCCGGGGTATCGATCACGACCAAGCGCGCCGGCAACGGGTCCGCAAGCTGGAGGTTGAGATTGAGCGACTCACGGGCGAAGTTGAGCTGGCCAAGAAAAATAGTGAGGCCTTTGACGAGCACACCGTCAAGGAGGTACAGGACTTTGAGCGCATCAAAGCGGTCGAATTCAAGGATACTCTGGGCGACCTCGCAGATGCGCATGTCGACTTCTTCCAGGGCACTATCGAGACGTGGGAGAAATTCCTGGAAGACATGCGCAAGGAGGAGGACCAGAGGAAGGCTGCTGCGGAATCATAGAACGATGACCGACGCGGACCTACTTTGAAGGAACGACAGGCGCCCACACCCGTTGATGCGCCGTCCGAGTTGAGGTACAGATTTGGAAGTTTTGAGTGAGTGAGCGGAAGGCAGGGTGAGCCTCCACGTGGCAAAGCTCAGTGTAAAGAGCTTGGACAGCAGTTGTTCCGTCGGCATTTGTATGTAATGATAACCCATTGCGTTGCGCATCAGTCTCAGACTAGCATCTCAAGTACTTTGTTTTTTACTGTGTAATGTTCGCACCAGACCTGGGCTGTGATCTTCACGTGCAACAGCGATTGGAGCCAAGCGATGACGTGCAATCTCGCATGGCACCAACCCTTGCAGATGGCTCTACCGAGCCGACGGACCCGTACCCTTTAGAAGTTTGACGCCCGCCAGAGCCATCCCGTTGTTCATCCCATCCCACAAGAGACAGGCGGCACCTGCAGCGCATATTCCCCGCTTCACCACATGGCCACGACCCTTATATAAATTAATCCGCCCCGCCAAACTCATGTCTCTCCCACACCCCGTCACACACAATCCCGCCATGCCGCCGAGCAAAGGTACGCCCCCTTGACGATCCCCCGACGCGCATCCAACTGACATGATTAATTGCGCAGAAACCGCGAGGCATGAGTGCGTCTCCGAAGATGCGCTGCAACACCTCAGGACCTACAAATACTCGAGCGTCGACAAATCCTTCATCTCCCGCTACATCCTCAAGCATTACGTACGCACCCTGCACCCGCGCAACCGCAACGCGCCCTGACGTGAACATAGTGGAATGCCTTTGTCGAACTGCTGCCGCTGTGGCTGGCGCCGAACCTCGTCACGTTATTAGGCTTCTTCTTTATCCTGGGCAACGTCGTGCTGCTAGAGCTTTACATCCCGGATCTGGTCGGACCAGCGCCCTCATGGGTATACTACAGCTTCGCCTTTGGCATGTGGATGTAAGAAATACAACAGCACAAGGAAGTGAGGGCTACGCTAATCTCCTGCAGGTACTCCACCATGGACAACGTCGACGGAAAGCAAGCGCGCCGAACCGGCACCTCGAGCCCGCTGGGAGAACTTTTTGAGTACGTGATGAACACAGCCCAATGCGCCAATATCACGATACTGATTGTGACGTAGCCATGGGATTGATTCTTTGAACTGCACTTTGGCCAGTCTCCTCGAGACGGCGGCCGTTGGATACGGCTCGACCAAGATTGGCGCCTTCACTGCGCTGATCCCTGTGCTGCCCATGTTCTTCTCGACTTGGGAGACATACCACACCCATACGCTGTATCTGGGCTACTTCAACGGTCCTACAGGTACGTTAGCTACTTGATTGGCGCGGACATTGCTAACTCCTCACAGAGGGACTCATCCTTGCATGCACCTTCATCTGCATGTCCGGCTACTTCGGCCCAGAGATCTGGTCGAAACCCCTCGCGACCTACTTCCCATCCTACAAAGCAGAAATCGGCGACGTAACCCTGAAGGAACTCTGGGTACCCATCATCCTCTTCACCTTCTTCGCCGCCCACCTCCCCGCCTGCATCGTCAACGTAGCGAAAGCGCGTCGCTCCAGGAACGAGCCTCTGCTGCCCCTTCTCAAGGAATGGACACCGCTAGTCATCTTCGTCGTCTCCACCATGGCCTGGCTCGGATCGCCATACTCGAAACTACTAGAAGACAACCACCTTGTCCTCTACTGTCTAACCATGTCTCTCGTCTTCGGACGCATGACCACCAAGATCATCCTCGCGCATCTCACACACCAGCCCTTCCCTTACTGGACCATCATGCTCGCACCGATGATCGGAGGCGCCCTGCTCATCAACCACCCCTACTTCACCATCCCCGGCACGACGTTCGGTCCCATCTCCGCTAGCTTTGAACTCTGGTACCTACGCGCTTACTTCGTCTTCGCTGCTGTTGTATATGGCAAGTGGGCGCATTTGGTCATTACAAGTATTTGTGATTACCTCGGTATCAACTGTCTTACTATTCCTAAGAAGACGAGTGAGAAGAATGGGAGGGCGAATGGGGTTGTTGATGGAAAGGGCCGGACTGACTAAATCTTCCTTGGCCCTGGACGAAAACCTTTCGACACGCATAGACTGGGCGGCACGTCTCCATCATCGACTTTAGCGTTCATCCGCATCATATCGCAACGCATCGCAGCGCAAGCGATACTTCACGATTATCCGACAAAGACCGTACATTTGACGTTTTTGACGACCTGCTTTGGATATACACATTTTTATTAAGCCTTGTAATTAGCAATGCTGGATCGTATGTTGCGATTCCAGCTTGTTCTCACTTATTCATCATCAGTAGACTTTTTAATCGCGTTTTCAACAACGTTTGTATAGAGAAAAGAAAGAAGAAGGGGAGGTTGTACAAAGGGGGAGGGGAAGGAGAAAGTCTAGAGCTTAGGCTTGAAAACAAAGTAATGGATATGAAGATTTGAAGTTGAAGCTGTTCAATCAATGTCTATTGCTCGATGAGTGTTTCCACCTGATTTCACTTGAGGTGTTTGGAGCAAGCAAGCATGCGAAGCACACGTCTTATGGCTTTGCCACCTACCTATGTAGATGGGAATTGAATCGAGCTTCCCATGTCTGTTGATACAACCTGATACGTAACATGACGACACCCGTACCATATCACATATTCAAATCTTTGTCATCGGAGGCTGCTAATAGTCCACTCACCATACAAAATTGTCTCGAATCTCCTCTCCTCCGCCTCCCCGGCGAGATCAGAAATCTCATATACATCTACGCCTTGAACCCCCATCTCAGCGGTATCCAATCCACTACCTATTCGCAAGAAGGACGGTGTGTCGACAAGTACATGCCGAGACGGCTGGCTTCATCTTGCGACTGAATACGTTCGGGTTCCAACACGGTCAGACTATCGCCTCTTTCGTCAGGGGCATACCGCGTGACTATGTCAATCGGGTTGAAAATATACGTTTGGATTTCCATCCCGCTGCGGTGACGGCGGGTCATGTCAAGGAGATGGGGAAATATGGGCTGGATTGGATGAAGGGGCTAAAGAGGTGCGTTGTTGTTACGAGGGATAGAGGGGAGGGACAGGATGGGGTTGACAGTGCGCTTTGGGGGGATTTGGGGTTGATTGGGCGGGGGTGTGAGGTTGTGTTTGAGGAGGGGGAGGCGTGGAAATTGGATCCGGAGAGTGACAGCGATTGAGGGGAATGATAGTGCGCTACATTTCCTTCTTAGCACAAGATGAATTCTTGCTCTGATACATGTTCGTCCTGCTGCTGATCGAAGATTTCTCCTTTCATGAGGCCGTGTACGTAGCATTCTCCGATGACCTGATAGAGACCATCATTGCACGGCCTTAGGAGTAGTGGCCAACAACAGCCAAACAGAATAGCGACAACATCTCCTGGGCGAGCTGTTTCCGGAGCCAACCCCAAATAACCCTTTCTTGTCGTAATCAAAGCTCTGTGATCTAAATAAGGTAAGGCCAAACGTACACATCGCAGCATAGCGCTGGTATCCATACTTGGCTCGTAGGATTGTGGGAAGAAAGTTCGAAATCTCTGACCACCGATACAGAAGTCGGCGTTGTATCTTCTGAACTTGTCCCATCTTTTGAAGTAAGTAGATCGAGTAAAAAACGGATCAGAGGCGATATTGGCAAGGCTGTCGTCCGTGTCGCCACTCCAATTCCACGGGATCTTGAAGATTCGACCCGACGAAATCGTAGGATAGCCCATAAGAAAGGTGATCTCGATTATTGCCTCTAACTTTTGACCTCTGTATCTATCAGAGACGACACCTGATTGCGTGGCATGAGAATCCAGAGGTGGCTCGGCTGCGATACCATCGACTGTGTCGATGTGGAATCCGCTGCACGCAAGATAGGTACGATCCTTCTCTTTCTCGATGAACCTAAATCGAGCAGGTACATCTCTGCTCGCCCCGTGAAGTGGGTTATCGTAGATGTAGTCGCGTTGGAGTGGCTTCCTCCAGTCAGGTACCCACGATGGCCAGCCTTTCTCGGCCGAGATACCTCCAAAGACGATCTGATCCAATCTTCCCGATCCCTTGATAGCCGACTTCATGAATTTCGTATATATCTGCTGCACCGGGAGCGAATAGTCTGGTGTGACACCAGCAGAGATAGAAGGATCTAACAGGCCAAGTATACTGTAAATTTTATCCCTTTCGTCTGTAGCGTCCGCTCGACCAACAAGACTCAAGACAGGACCTGCGCTGATCCCAACATCGCTCTCGGAGGTAATAGATATGAGATTTAAAAGACGTTGAAGCCTAGTCTGCATACCGAGTTGCACACTGGGGTCGGACGAACCGTTTGTTTCCTCATAATACTGGGATAAATGCAGAACCCAAAGGGCGCCCGCACGTAGCATTTCCCTCGTCGATTTAGACTTCCCGCACAGGAAAAGAGTCGAATTGTGGTTCATGGCGAGCTCCTGGATGATCCAGCACCGGTTCCAATATGGCTTCTGTGCAAAAGCCAGGAAAGTGGGCCTGCCGAAGAGAGGCAGATCGCTTCGAGGCGTCAATCTGCTTTCCTCATCATGACCATAAGGGTACGATATCTGAAGTGCGGGCCCATGCATTCCCTCCTCTTGACCCAGCCAGACTATCACAGCTCTAGCTTGTCCGTATATCTCTTTCATGCGCTTGACCTGTTCATTTCGCTCTTCGATATTTTCCTGATCAATGCATAATGAATCTATCCAATAGCACATACCAAGAAGAGTCTCTTCCAGGTTTCTCAACGCTCTCAAGGCTCCTTCGAGATTGCGCGGAACGCTTTTGCGGAAACCGTTTACACAGATAATCTTTGTCTCGCCTATATCGCCCCATGTGTACGACAAGGCTTCAAAATCTCCCCAGTCGTAACGACAATCGCTGCACTGAGAAGAGTTCCGATGTAGACCAGCAAGTGTCGCCGCATCGAGTGTCCTTCGTTCGAGGGTTGAGTCTCGTAGATCCACGGACTTGGTGAATTTATCCCACGCTATCGGAAATTTCCGGTCCTGTGAGTCTTCCTGATGCGGTTGAGAGTCGAGAGAACTCTGTAGTGATACGTTTCTGATGGAGCATTGAATGGTGTCGTCGGTCGAGACTGGGCTGGAAAGATTGAGAAACTCGAGAACACGAATCTCGTTCTGCGTCTTGTCGAGAGGCTCGTACTGCATCTTGTGCATATGGATGGGCCGAATTGCATTGAGAAGAGGAAAGAAACCGCTTTAGCTTGTGATAGTCTGGGAAGGACTTTTAAATTGGACGTTTCGATACACTCAAGTCAGTGTTTCAGCATACCGAAAGAGACTCAGACTTGTTAACACTGAGATTGTCGACTTATGTAGCCAAGACGCTTCGGGAAGGACATGGAAACTTGTTCTTCTTCTACTTCACTCACCGGTTCCCAATGACGTGGGAGAACCCTAGATAGCAGGAAACTCATTGGCTCACGGGGCTGTGGCTATATGCCAATATCGAATCAGATCCATGTGAGGCGCATGATCTCCCCGCACTTACCTGCAGAACCATTATGTGGTGCAGCAATCATGTCTTCATCAAGCGGGAGGTGGTATCGATATACCAATAGCACATGGCTGGATCTGGTGTCAGCGCTGTGCATCACTCTCACCGGAACGCCATCGCTGTATGTGAGTGAACGTTGGGCAGAGACGGGAGGAAATGATGAAGTCTCACGTGTAGTGTCTGACAGCCCGTATGAAGGAGTGAGATTAGAGGTGTGTCCGATAGCGCAAAAGCTTGATTGTAAAGTAGTTTACTAAGTGCATCTCAAGGTGCGATGTGAACGGATCAGAAAAGGGCGAAAAAACGCGGTTATTTTCACCCGGCAGATACCATAGAGCTGTAGTGTTACGGGGAGATATGCCATCAAGTGGGTTCAAAAAGCTGTTGGCGTTCAGGAGTATAATGACGTTCGATGGACTACGCTGATGGGGTGGTTGAGTGAAGGAGAGCGCGGGGTACGCCCTTGGAATTTCGTTTCGTTAGCGCGGAATCTGACTGCCCACATAATTTCTGTGCGGCAACAACCAGCGCCCAGCATTACCGCAACTTCACAACATGGCACCCGCATCACTACTGGACCTCGTGTCCGCGCTGCCCGACACTGCAGGATGGGGCCCGCCCGTCACCAGCGAATCGATGCTCGACGGCGTGCCGTTCGCGCCTTACTCCAAGGCGGACAAGCTGGGGCGCATGGCCGACTGGACTGAGGGCAAGGACCGCGAGCGGGGAGGACGCCAGCAATACGGCAACCGCAACTACAGGGGTATGTCTGGTGATGGTGAAGGAGAAAGAAGATAGCTGCTAAGACTTTCTAGATCAGCAGGTATACGGCGCGAACCAGCAGACCAACCCCTTCGCCATCCAGGCCGCCGAAGAGGAGGCTACCTTCTCCGTCGTCGACAACACACGCACATCAGCCCGTGGCCGAGGATTTGGACGAGGCGGCGGCACCGTGTTCCGTGGACGTGGAGGAGCGCGAGGTGGACAGGCGCAACGCGGCGGGCGGGGCACCTTCCAGCGCGTTGGTGGCCGTGGTGGAAACCAGTACGACAACCAGCGCGGTGGACGTGGCGGCAGGGGAGGACGTCGCTTTGGCTGGAGGGACGACAAGCCCCAGCGCAACCGTGACGCTTCCGTGCAGGTCAAGCCCGAATGGAACGTCATGGAGGAGATTGACTTCTCCCGTCTCAGCAAGCTCAATCTCGACACCCACGAGGGCGAGGATATCGACAACTACGGATTCCTCTACTACTACGACCGCAGCTACGATAAGCAGCCTGGTGCCAGGACCTCGGAGCGCAAACTCAACGTCCTCGACCGTGCCGCCTACAATGTCACCACCTCCAGCGATCCTATCCTGCAGGAGCTCGCCGACAAGGACGAGGGCACTGTTTTCGCTACCGACGGTGTTCTATCCATGCTTATGTGCGCCACCAAGTCTGTCTACTCCTGGGACTTGGTCTTCACCAAGCGAGGCAACAAGGTCTTCATTGACAAGCGCGATGGATCAAGTCTGGACATGGTCACTGTCAACGAGAACGCCGCAGACGCGCCGCTTGAGATTTCCGAGGGCAACAAGGACTCTATCAACAGCCCTGGTGCTCTGATGCTGGAAGCCACACACATCAACAACATCTTCCCCCTCCAGGTCGTTACCGAGTCTGAGAGCCAGAAGGTCAGCATGCCCCACGAGCATCCCTTCTACAACGAGGAGGTCGAGACCGACCCACCAGCCTCCAAGGCCTACAGGTACCGCCGCTTCGATCTGTCTCTGGACAAGGACGAGGAGCCTCTGCACCTGGTTGTCCGGACGGAGTTGGACGCTGTTGTTAAGAACAACATCAACGGCGAGGACCAGTACCTGACCATCAAGGCTCTCAACGAGTTTGACAACAAGGCGCAAGGTGCCGGTGGAGCGCTCGACTGGAGGTCCAAGTTGGCCAGCCAGAGGGGTGCTGTTCTCGCCACTGAGATGAAGAACAATTCCTGCAAGCTTGCACGTTGGACTACCCAGAGTATCTTGGCCAAGGCCGACACCATGAAGCTCGGGTATGTATTTCAATTTCTCACATCCGACTCAACTAACATGACTACAGTTTCGTCTCCCGTACCAACCCCAAGAACAACAACGACCACGTCATCCTCGGTGTACTCACAGCCAAGCCCCGCGACTTCGCCGCCCAGATGGCACTCAACCTTAACAACGGATGGGCTATTGTTCGTACCATTGTCGATATGGTCCTTCGCATGGACGAGGGCAAATACGTCCTGGTCAAGGACCCCAACAAGTCTCTTCTCCGCCTCTACTCAGTACCTATGCACACTTTCGAGGAGGAAGATATCGAGGAGATGCAGGCCCCGAACGAGGATGATGAGGAGTAATTTTTGGGTCACAAAAAGGGATGCGGTTCTTTTCTTCAGCGATATCCGTAGGGATGGTTACATGATAGCATGCATGATAGACGACATACCATTGAATGACGACGCTGGACGATGCTGTCCTGAAGCTGAACGATTATATTTGGTAATGTGAACCTTGGGTGTGAGAGATATCTTTCAACTGCCAGACTCGTCACATGCGAATCGATAAGTTTAGTGATTCGTTCGTAAGGTGCACAGACCTTACTTGTACCTGCCAAGTCGCGTCAATGAACCCGCTGAACCCTTCTTCGTCTACACTTGACCTCTTGCGTCCTCTCACGCAACAACAATCTGTGCGCGCTTTACTTGGATCGCTTTTGTACATATCTCTTACGATGGATTTTGAAAAACTCAATATCTACTTGTTCGTAATCAACTATGGACGATGAACACGAGCTTTTGGTCCACATCTCCGCTCCGGCTACTCGACAAAACGATCAACTTTACCGCTCCTTGGCCGACGCTTATCTCGACTTTAGACCGCATCGAAAAAATGTTGAGGAGACATCACAACACGATGTGTCGAGCCAGTTTGCTGCTTCCCGAGTGAGCGACCCTTCGCCACCAAACAAAGGAAATTCATTTCGCGAGTCCGTCAATACCTCCATCTTATCGACCAACAAAGATTCCTACGGCAGTTTCCCATCTCACTTATCGTCTGATGAATATCCCAAAAGATACGTCGGCGCGTCGTCCGACGATGTGGGACAAGACGACTTTGCGCCAACGTCTAGTCGGCTTGCGCGATTAGAACGTATCCATCAAAACTGGAAAGCGCAAGCAACCCCCAAGTCAAGCGCTGCTAGCAAACGGCGGTCTATAAAAGATGTCCTCAGCAGTCCGGAGGATGCTGACACAGCGTTTATTGAGGATACGCAAGCTGCGGTTCAAGCACTACAGAGTCAATTGCAGGATAGCTTTTCGATGACTTCCGAGAACACGTCCGGAGACGAGTCGGACGCTAGGGATGTTACGCAGGAGGCTTCTTCGTCGCCTGCTGAGACCGCGGAACGCACGATTGTCGCTACAGCAGACGAGCCGGATGCGCCTAGCACTACGTCTTCGCCTCAGGTACCTACCGCAAGTGTGGACCGTCGCGAGAGTCCACGCCTGGAAATCGCTAGCGATATAATAGAAGCCAAGACGCCTGTTTCTGCAGAAGTGCATCCCGAATCTAGCAGCATCGTCTTAACACAGCAAGAGAGCTTCCGCTCATCTGATGCGCCAAAGCCAGTTTCCCCATTAGCAGAAGACCAAGCCAGTGAGAACAGCAAGGTGCAAGAAATCGACAATTCCGGTCCACCCATAGACTTTACCGATTATCCGGAAATAGTTGAATCTCCACCACCGAAGATAGGTGTAGAGAGTCCGGAGGCGTGGCCTCGGCAGATAACACCCTACCTGGAAGCCCTCAAGGAACAATATCCAGGCAAGTTCAAACCAGTTGGAAAGTCACGCGATCCAGTGGGCAATGAAAGAGGTCATTGGCTCATTGACTTGTCGACTTGGCCTGCGCAGGCTCAGAAAGACCTTTGGGATGGCGTGTGTGAACCGCTGAAAGATGGCAGACTCGGCTGGGGTGCATATCTCTACCGAGCGAAGGGTACTTCTGAGACTCTTGGGATGGTGCAGCTGTTCAATTGGGGAGAGCTTGCAGAGCATATGTGGTTGTTGTTGTGGGTTTGCTCTAAGGGGAAGATAGCCGGCGCTGGTCTTAAGTGGAAGGCCGGCCGTGACGTGATCTTGGTGATGGCATGAACGAATGTTGAACAACGGAAAGAATGTAGGATCTCGGAGAATCTACCATCTGCTGCATGCACAAAACCAAGTCAAGTGCTCTGTTCACCCCAATTTTTAGATGAAGGTTTAGTGAAAGTAAATTACCGAATAGCGCCTTTACGCGACCGACATAACCGTCCTGCACGCGTGAAACATGGATGCCAAGCGACACGTCTGGGGTCGCTGACCCCCATCATGTTTAGCACCGTAGCGGCGCAACGTTTCTTTTCCACCTAGCTATGTAATATATCGCCTGAAGACGCGATCATGTCTTCGCAACCGCACAACGAATCGCAAAGAGTGCCTAGCTCCGATGCTGGCACCGACGAGCGCACCCTGTACGACCACACCTCCGACGATGAAGGCTACGACGGCAGACCATCTGGCGAGCTCGACGAACGCGATCACGACATTTTAGATTCGGAAGATGAGCGCGAGAGGCTTCTTACGCAGAAAGATGGTGGCAAGGGCTTATTGGGGCGCAGAGCCTCGAGCGTCAAGGTCGGAAAGTGGGATAAGAAGAAGGAGATGAAGGAGCGCAGGAAAGGCGGCAATGAAGAGTCGAGTGCGCTCATGTACGAAATGGAAGAAGGTATTGGTGCTTCCAGTACAAGTTTCCGATCAGGAAGAAGTTCATTGAGCGATGAACAGCGACTACTTGCGAGCGAGTCGCAGAGGAAGGTGTGTAGAGTCTACGGATGCGCGAGCGAAGCTAATGGACTACAGGTACGCAGAAAGAGTCTATACCGCCGAATAGCCATATACGTATCCATCATCGTCCTCTTCGTCGTTCTCCTCGCAGCCACGTACAATCTCTCTACCCCGAAAGATGTCAAAGAAGCAGCAGCCATGCTCTCCAACGGCACCTCACTCTTTGCGCCGACCACAATCCTCATATCGCTCGACGGCTTCCGCGCCGACTTCTTATACCGAAACCTCACACCAACGCTCAACCAGTTCGTAGCAGAGGGCATATCGCCAAAGTACATGATGCCCAGCTTCCCCAGCGTCACATTCCCAAACCACTACACAATGGCTACGGGCATGTATCCCGAAGCGCACGGCGTAGTAGGAAACACATTCTGGGACCCAGAACTCGAGCAGGAGTTCTATTACACAGACCCAAAGCGCAGTTTACAACCGCACTGGTGGGGCGGCGAACCTCTCTGGGTGACAGCCGAGAAGCAAGGAGTCAGGACAGCAGTCCACATGTGGCCAGGCTCTGAAGCGCATATATTGAACCAAGAGATTGCCTACATCGACAAGTACAACGGTTCCGAAGTCTTGCCTACAAAGGTCGACCGCATAATGGAGCTCCTCGATCTCCCCGGCCCCAAAGACATCGGCGCGAGCGCAAATACACCGCGACCTCAGCTGATCGCAGCATACGTCCCCGATGTAGACGGCGACGGCCACCGCTTCGGACCCAACAGCACCGAAATCCGCAAGACGATTGCCAACGCCGACACAATGATGGCAGGTATTCTAGCTGGTCTCCACGCGCGCAACCTAACAAACATCGTCAATGTGATAGTTGTCTCAGACCACGGCATGGCCACCACAGACAAAACCCGCCTAGTTCAACTCGAGGACCTCATCGATCCCGCCGAACTCTCCCACACAGACGGCTGGCCGCTCTATGGTCTGCGTCCTAAAGACCCAGCCTCGCTGCACCGTCTCTACAATCAGCTCTTAGACCGTACAAAGGATAACCCCAATCTCGATGTCTACTTGCGGGATGAGAATATGCCGGAGCGCTACCACTTTAGCAGAAACGACAGGATCGCTCCGCTGTGGATTGTGCCGAAAACAGGCTGGGCGATTGTAACGAAAGATGAGTTTAACGTTGAGGTAGGGATGAAGACGGGCGAGGAGTATCATCCGAAGGGACTCCATGGATACGATCACGAGCATCCGCTTATGAGGGCTGTTTTCATCGCGAGAGGGCCTGCGTTCCCGCATGAAGCTGGGAGCAGGATGGAACCTTTCCGTAAGTCTTCATCTCATTCACATCATACATACCTATACAGGAGGAAGTAAACTAACACCACGCCAACAGAAAACATCGAACTCTACAACATAGTCTGCGACTCCATCGGTCTCAACCCCGCGCCCAACAACGGTACTCTGCGACTCCCATTAAAACCAGTCGGTCTGCATTCCGACGATGACTCGGTCTCTGGCAACGAAAAAGAAACACCCGAAGATCCCGTGTCTTCTTACACTCTCTCTTCCTCCATCACCCTCCCTTCTTCCCTCCCGTCACCATCGAACCTCGCATCCATGCCCGCAACAGACTTGAACTCCCTGTCCAGTATCGCAGCGTCAGCGTCTGGGCTGGAAGATACGAGTCCGAGTTTGGAGGATGTGCCTAGTCGACCTACTCCACCGAGTGGTGGGAAAGACGAGTTGAAAGATGGCGAGAAGAGTGATGGAAAAGATGAGGAGAAGGGAGAGGGAAACAAGAAAGAAAGCTGGTGGGAATGGTTGACGCACAAGGCGGATGGGATAAAGGATTGGGTGGATGAGTTCATTCATGATCATGTCCCGCAGGATGGAAAGGAGCAGGGAGAGAAAGACGGGTAGAGAGATCTGACGGAGATAAGGGGTTTGGCGTTCTCTTTGGGGTTGGTATAGACGGAGCGTTTCTTTTGGTAAGGACTTCGTTGAGGTCTTGTGTGATAGATTTCAGCTTCAGCAGTCTGGTTCTGGGTTATTTGATAGTAGTTGGACAGAATGATACCCAATCTTTTCTTCACCAAAATATTCCTAATTTCTATTGCAATGTAAAGTCATTTGTCCCAGATGGACAATCACTTTCAAATCTGCGCGACAAATTTCTAACAAACATATACATTGGACAGCCAGTTCAGTCATCATAGGTCAAGCTACCATAGCGGGATTGATGAAGGTATTACTTTATTTCATTTATCTCGTTGCACAGCTGTCTAAACAAGCGAACTATAGAGAGCGGAAGAAGGAAAATGACAGAAACGTCTACATGATATCGCACTTTGCAGGCAATCCACACGGACCCTCCTTATCCTTCTCTTCCGGCCCCTTCTGCTGAGGCTGCGATGAGGAAGCAGCGGCAGGGGCAGATGTAGCAGCAGCAGGCGCAGCAGTAGTAGTACCGTTAGTCGCCGCTCCCGCTCCATTTACTCCCTCAACGCTCTTCTCACCCACAGCATCGCCAGCAGTCTTTCCGCCATCTAGTCACTGGTGGGCCTTGGCAACCGCCTCGTAGAAAGCCTTGCCCTGAGCCTTAGCAATGTTAAGCTCAAGCTCAGAGGGCTGCCTGCTACCGTCACCAGCAGAGAAGGTACCAGCGCCCCACGGGCTACCACCGTGAACCTCGTCGAGGTTAGCAAGCATGCTGAACGCTGTCTTGTATCCGAGCGGCACGTAGATGAAGCCGTGGTGCACAAGCGTGCTCATGCTGGTGATGGCAGTGGTCTCCTGGCCGCCACCGAGGGTACCGGTTGACACGAAGACACCGGCGTATTTACCCCAGAAAGAGCCTTGTTGCCATTGCTTGCCCGTCTTGTCCCAGAAGGTCTTGAATTGTGCGGGGAAGTTGCCGTAGCGGGTGGGGATGCCGAAGAGGATTCCGTCGAATTCTTCGAGGACGGCGGGGTCGTCGAGGGTGGGGATCGAGGCGTCCTTGGGGGGTGCGTACATCTTGTCGAGGACGTCTTGGGGGAGGGTCTCGGCGACTCTGCGGGTGGGTTAGTTGGTGGTCTTGAGGGAGATGAAGGGGGTGTGTGGATAGCAATTGCAATTGCCAGCAGCGAGATGATGGTGTTAGGGATATTGGAAAGGGAATACATACTGGAAGAGCTTGGCGTCACCACCCGCCTCCTTGATACCCTCCAACTCAGCATCGGCCTAGCCATCTCTGTTAGCACAAGCTCTCAATTGTCAGGTATCAATCGAGTGGGGAGCCGTTTCGCAACCAAGAACAGCTCCCCATCTCAACACAATCGCAACATACCATCTTCTTGATGTGGCCGTACATGGAGTAGTAAACAATCGCGATCTTGGGAGCCATCTTGAATAACTTCCTAGGGGGTATCACAAAGAACGAGTAGAGTACGAACGATTCGAGAGAGATGAGTATGTAGTGAAGAAGTAAAGAAGAGAGCTTTCGGGGTGGGGTATGCACCTTCTACTTATACCCAGCAGCCAGCACCAGCACCACCGGGGGCTGGCATGTGCATGGTGCATGAGATAACCCAGACCCCTTGTCGACAGTCTTCGATCCCCATAGACTGTGTCTATCTCGCAATACATCATGCCATGGCTACTACATCATCCACCGGCCCAATCGCACCGAGCGAGCTTAGCTACCTAGCTGTCCTGTAAACAACTGCTTTGCGCCATTCTGCCCCTCATAGCGCTCCTCACTATACCACTCTTAGTAAAGTTTGACGGTTAGCGCCCCACATATATACCCGGTGCAGTAGCGTCATAGGCGTTTCCGATGATTACATGAGCCTTTGGTAAGAGATTGTCAATTCGTTTTTTTTTCTGTTTCGCTGGGGAAAGGTAGGTTGTTGGTAAAATTCCTCCGGCTAACCTGCTGCATCGCGAGTCAATTGCAAAGGAACCCACCATCCCGGGCCCGGCAAGTAGCTTTTTCGCTGGGGCGGACATCTTCCGCGCTCCCGTGCCTCTTATTCAGCAGATAATCGGTCGGTGTTCGGCGTGTACGGGACTGAGACCTTACTCTAGGTTGGTAAGCTCCATCGCTCGGATAGAGAAAGAGGTTGGCTTCCGGCGTACATAACGGATGACCATGCGGTGTGTAAGCAAAAAGTGCGGAAAGCTGTACCTGGGCTTGTCTGCTTTGGGAGGGTGTGGGTGCGTGGACTGCAGGTGCGGGGTGTTGGTCTTTGATCGCCAAGGTGTGGAACCCGTTGGCAAAATTGGAGCTTTCGCGAAGTTTCTTATCAATATTGTGTTGTTTCTATTCTCGTGATCGGGGGTGGAAGCAAGTTTCCTTTGTCGAACATGCGCGAAGACCATTGCACAGATGAGCGAGCGATGAGACGGTTGCCAGATGAGTGTGAAGCTTGATTCATTATACTGATTTGAAGGTTGAACGCTAAAATGCTAACAAACTGCAAGATGGAGAAAAAGCAATAAACACCCCGCCTTCCCAAGTAATCAATACGCAGTATTCGCTTTTTCGGAACATGGCCATGTTCTCGTTATGAATTTTCCCAAATGCATGAATACAATGTGGCTGCTCCAGCCTGGTATCTCTTTGGCTCCAGGCCTGTCGCTCATGCATGTGGTCGTAATTTCGTAAGTATAGGTTTCGCAATAAAAAGTTACAGTTGAAGTGAAGTCGGCCGTTATCAGTGGTTTTATCCACAATCAGGTTTGGATGGAGAGGAGCCTCCTACGGACGCCGGCTAGAAATTCGGCTTCGTCGATGCGCTGGAACTGCGCCTCCTCCTCTTTTCCGTAGAGGCCGGTGCTGCCGTAGGGTCCCTTGCCGCTGAACTCGACATTCTGTGGCCAGTGCCCGTCAGACGAGACCTGCGCCAGCGAAAAGTCGCCATGGACGGACTGGAAGCCGGGCTCGAAGATGCACTCGGCGAAGAACAGCTCGACGTACAGTTCGCGAGGAATAGCACTCTGCGCACGGAGGCGGATAAAGCGACGGGCTTGCTCAAGAAGCTTCTGCAGGGCGTCGGTAGCTTCGTGGGTGGAGCGACCGTCCTCGTGCTCACACAAGTGCAGAGCGCGTACCTGCAGGTCACCTGCAAACTTCGCATTGTCGTTGGAAAAGAGATGGGAGCACACAGAAGGAAGCGAGATGGATAGAGTCTCAAGCTTTGGGCAGTTGCGGAAAGTGTCGCAGAGATGCTCGCAGTCGCTCGGTGATCCCGGGTGCGGGTGCCAGAAGCCATCCTGTGACCGCGGGCTGTGCTCAAGGACCCGGAGCGTCTTACGAGATGCCTTGACAATGGCCATGACACCATCGATGGTGATGGAGGAGTTGCAGGTCAAGTGGAACTCTTCCAGCTGAGTGGCCGTGTGAGCGATGGCGAAAAGATCATCGTCGGTGATGGGCATAAAGCTAGTGTCACCAAAGATCTTCAGGCGGCGAAGCTGGCTGAAGTTTACCGACTGCAGTGGCTTCAGATCAACGATGTTATCCTTGTCTGTTGCTTGCTGCGAAGTCGGGTCGACACATTGAAGTTCCAGCGACTGGAGTGGTTTGCCGGTGCCGGTGAGCACAGTTCGCCAGGCCTTGGCGTCCACGTGACGGATGGTGGTCCATGGAAGAGAGAGCGAGGTGATGTTGGTGCAGTTCTTGAGCGACTGGAATACCAGACGGTCAGTCTCGGCGGTGTAGAAGCCGTGCACCCACATGCGCTTGATCTTGGCAGCTACCTGTGGGTAGTCGTTGCAGATGCTCACGGTCCGCTTGAGAGAGGCGAATGGGTCGCGGTAGACCGCTGTGCCAGTCGGACGGTCAATGAGCTCGTACAACGGGTAGCTCTCTCGCCTGTTGGAAAGTTCGGCCCATCGCTATGCAAAGTCAGCATTTTGTTCATGGACGAGTACATCGACCGTGCTTACCTCTCCGCCCTTCCAGCGACGGATGTAGACGTCCTTGATGGAGTGCTCCAAAGCCCACTCGTGCCACTTCCAGCAAACCGATCGTAGGGTGGCAGTTGCGTCCCACTTGAGGAGCTCTGGCGGGACTGGGCCTCTCACATAGCGCTGGAGCTTGGCCCTCTCGAGAGGCAGTGGCGCCTGCTGGAGACCAAATGTATACGTGGGGCCATCACGTATATTGGCCTTGGTGACCTCCTCAAGGATCTGGGTGAGTACTTCGTAGGGGAAGTCGTTGATGTGCATTGAATGATTGACGGTGGTGACGGTAGGGTGACTCGTTGTCCGGTGGTGTGAGAGCGGGTGAGGAATCCGTGGGTTTATGTATTAGGTGGCAAGGTCAGGTAGTTATTCCAGAGTGAAAGGCACTCCGGGGCTCTTATAGTCAGGCAGCACCTACCGCAGAG